CTAAGCAGAATCAATGGAATAATCTAGTTAAAAAAAAGGCAGTAAATAGTAGGTTAATGCTGTATATAAAATGACTTACAGTTCAGTATTTACCTTGAAATGAATGTCTTGCATTAGAAATACTGAGGTAAGGACTTTTTGTTGTTCATGTTTTTGTTTTTGTTGTTCATGGCAGAAATCTTTTCCTTGGATCCAACAGAACATTTTTAGGGCTCACATTTCTCACCGATTGTGTATTTCAAGCATTATAGATTTTATTAAGCAGTTACACTTGTCATATTGTTTTCATCTGCATGATCATCTTAAGAAGAAACAGTAGAAATCACAGCACCAAATGCATGTATTTACTTAACTGAATGTCACTATCATGCAAGAATTTCTGGTAAACAATCTGATCTTTCCTCAACTGCGAAAGAAATAATTTACAAAGTCTTTCTCGATTCTACTTTCCCATCTAATATCCTAATATCATTGAATATACAACTTCTTTTTGAAGTAAGGTCACAACACTAGATTTAAAAAAAAAAAAAAACAAAAAAAAAAAAAAACACCCACAAAGAGAGGCTAGCTCTAGTTTCAAGTTTGTAACCCTTTTTAAGTGTGGAAAACTTGCACCAATGTCCAGAAATGGTTTAGATAATGGTTTAGATAATAAAATATTTTAAATATTTTAAAAGTTTTAGAAGTTTAATCCATTTTCCTGAGCTTTTTCATTTCTGAAATCCTCTGCAATTGAAATATTTACATAAAAGTTACTAGCAATTGATATTTTTATATAAGAAATACTAGGTCTTTAAGAGAATTCAAAATTAATGATAACACAGTTCTTATTAGGAGAAAGATACAGAAGACTGAAGAATGCGATTAACTAGTAGAATTAAAGTTCCATTTTGCTAAAAGGAGGAGTGGATGCAACTGTGGGCTGGTTAGATAAGTAACTTGCTAGAATCTAAAAAACTTCTGAAAAGTAACCTTGCTTATTCATTTTAGCTGTCTGCTATCTAGGTATAATACTTTTTTATTATACCTAGCAAAAATCTGTTTATCACATCTACATTCATGTGACTGTGTAACTTAATATCAGTAAGGGTTTCATCTGTGTCATTAAAACCAAAAGAGGGTTAGCTGGAAAGAACCAGATAACCAGAAAATAAAGTAAGGAAGGAAAACATCATTTTTCTTGAGCATCAGGATATAAACATCAGGAACAAAGTAGCAAACTGGAGGAACAGTCCCTCTCGTAAGCACTACCTCAGGTTTCTTAGGCTTCTTCATTATCAAAAATAACACTGAAAAACTTTGCACATTAAAATAGAAAAACAGAACATCAGTGAGAATCATGATCTTGTGAACTGCAAAGTGAATATATCTTGTCATTGGAATGTATTCCTGGCAATAATTTAAATTCTGCTTTTAGTCTTCTGTATGTGTTTCCTTTTGACTTTGATACATATTGTTGACAAAAACTAAATATTATGTGATTTAAATTTAGGAGAAGCAAGGACTTTAAACTTGAAAGATGTGATTTTCTTTCAGAATAATTTCATCTTTTTAAGGGTGGAAAATAAGAAATTTTGAAGGTTTGACTCCTATATTTCGTATGTATTGAAGTTATTCTTCTAAGTTATCTGAAGTAGATCTAAGATTATATGTTGCAAGTTATAAACAAAATGAAACAAAAAAAGTCAAAATTAATGCAATCATAAAAGCTCTCTATATTCACAGGAAGAATTTCACACTAATTAACTTATTGCTTTTCTAGCTGAAAATAACATTGCATTTAAGATCACAGAAATGCCACCCAAGAACACAGACAAAACTATTATAGGATCGCATAACTTGAGCAGTTAATTAAAATTAGATGAAAAATCTGAGCGCCCCTCTGTATCATGCGTAATGTTTGTCATGTGGGCATTCAGCACATTCATTCAACCTTGTTGAGAAACCAGTAAAATTTAGAGGGATGCAAGCATATTGTACATGGTAAAAAGGAGAAAAAAAAAAAAACTGCTATAATCATGGGATTTATGGATGAATGACTTCAGAACGGTGGAGTTTCCCCCTGAGTAAAACTTAAGATTGCCTCTATATCTGAATATAGTTTAAATGCTCTTTGAAACATAGTAGATTTTGCTCAAAACTCAAGTGCATTTTACAGTACAAGAAAGGGGCTCTATAGAGATTTATTTAAAGCTTAAAGAACAACTGAGGACACTTAGTTTTCAGGAGGTACCCAAAGATAGATGGAGCAGTCCCAGTGCAAATTTGTCTTGAAAAGTCCTGACCTCACAAGAGGTTATAGGGAAAAGTATAACTCCTTTTTATGAAAGGATTAAACTTTTGAAGACTGATCAAGATCTACATGTTTTAACTCACTATATATCATTTACTACTTTGTCAGATTTTTAGATAATATGAAAGACAAAATGTAAAGTTATGGAAAATTTAAATTATATTTCATATTTTATGTCTGTCTAAATGCTCTGTGTGTATATATATAAACATCATTAATTTTCACAGAATAAAGCTATGAAAAGGTAAAGAATTTTTCTAGGAGACTGGTCAAGGGTGGTAGTGGTAATAGTGGTAGGAGTGGTGGTGGTAGCAGTAGTAGTAGGAGAAGCAGAAGTAGTAGTGATACCCTCTCCTGCACTTTCTCTTCATTACACTCATACATTAGCAGCTTGCTACTTACATACATTCAATATAAATCCCATCACTGCAGCAACTTGTTTTTTTTTCCCTAAGACACAATTTTCTGCTATGCACATTTAAGACAAAAATACAGTAACAAAATGGTGTAATGAAAAACCTGGAATATATACTTCACAAAGACATCTAGAGCCTCTAGATTTTTGCTGAACCACAACTTCAAGCAATATGTATAATCAAAGAAAGCTTTAAATTGCTTTTTGTTGAAAATTTCTCTCTTATATTTCAGGTTATATATACATATTTAAGAGCTGTGAAATGAGTTTGTAAAGCATAGCATGAGAGTATTAAAAAAGATTACATTTGCAAATCAAATAAAATAATTTGAAATATCATCTGGATGCTATATCACAATTACCTTCATCCACACTAGAGTGTGATGCAAGAGGTCCAGTGTAAATTACATTCATATTGCATTATTAGAAAGTCAGGATCCAGAAGGCAAAACATAATGATATCACTGAATTCATCTAGACATACTGAAAATCTTCAGGAATATGAATGAACAATATCTCTTATAAACTTCAGATAATGTTTGAAAATTTGAGGGAATGAAAAAGGATGGGACATAAGGATAACAAGAGCAGAAAGAGTTTTGTTTTCTTCTAGCTCCAAAGATTGTTTTTTCTAAAACCTTATTCTAGAGCAGCTTGTACCATCTGCTTTTAGAAGACACTGTAGAAAAGCTGGACTTGCTCTGATCCTGCATGGCAATTCCTGTGTTGGAACAGTGGTGTTGTTTCATGCATTTTGAACAAAATTTGATCCTGCAGCAATAACTGAAAATTGTGGCCTATAACGAAGTGAGAAAGCTGAAAAGCTTTGAACAGCTTCAGATTTTTAAAATCAGTTTCAAAATTCTTGTAGTTTCTTTCTAATCTCTGAATCTTTGGTAGCAGTCTAGAGGAGTCCATTCTGCTTCACCTTTATTCCTTACCACTTTATTCCTTACCACTGTAGTATCTTGCTTAAAAGATGTAGAGATTTAGAGATAATTCTTACCAAAGATTTTTAATGTTGCTATTGGTCTCTGTTTTTCTTTAGTCTTTTCTGTATTGTCAAAAAGCAGATATGTGAGTGTAGCTTCTCTGTTTTGAACTCTTCTCCTGCTCTGATTATTCTAATGTAATAGACTTTAAGATTTTAATTTTAAGACATAAGATAAGTGGCAATTTTTAAGTCAATGAATGAAAGAAACACTTGAGGATAGAATTCACTGAAACCCTTCAGCAGTATACATATACATATGTATGTGTATAAAGTGAAGCTTACTTGTGCTGTCCACTGTAATAATTTTGATTTTGTTGTAACGAAGGTGAATATTGCATAAAAAGTTTCCATAACGTTAAAAAAAAAAAAAAAGAAAAAAAAAACATTTCTATGGGTGGTTGCCAGTAAACCTTGATTGCTGATAGAAAAGAATGAGGTAGCAAGTAAGAAGAACCAGTACATGCTGACAATCACTTTAGCAAGCAGAATAATCCTCAAGGATCACGAAACAGATGAGGAAGAACATTATTGTTTGCCATCTGCTACAAGTCTATTAGCATGTCAGTATCTGGTGGCCACAGAAAGATCTTTGTGACATGAACCCATCAAGTGAAATCAGACAGAGAGTTCTTCTGTTGAAAGCAATCCTGCTGAAAGTAAATATAACAGGCTTTGCCACTGTTTGATTCACTTAGTTTTTGATATATTGAAAGTTTGATAAAGCACACTCATAGAGTTAATATAAATGATTAAATGATATAGCATAATCAACAAGAACTGAAAAATAATCCCACAAGGTTGGCATTAAAACTTTCTTTCTAGTCAATTTAGAGTTGTTTCCAAATGTCAGGCAGCAAATATCTAAATTTGTGCAAAATGAATTGGCTTGAAACTGTCTTAAATACGTTAGTACTAGAGTGGGGCAGAACTGCCCCAACCCAAGCTAGAAATTTGCACATATATTTTCTTCACAAAATACTAGATGCTGAATGCTGTCACTCAGTGGCAGGATTATCTATATTCCTTGGGACAGTAAAGGCATTCAGGGGATTAGCAATTTCATATTCATGATGGATAATACAAGAGAGAACATGGAACTTCAGTAGTCATAACACGTCCATGGACCCACATACTAAACTGTGCAACAGTACATATGGAAGGAATTACACTAGCTTGTATTTATCTATTACTTCCAAAATACATCCCTTGCATGCGAAACAACCTTCATCAGCAGAGGGAAACATTAATCTTGCCTTTTAAGTCTGAGCACGGAGCTTGCAAGGCATAAATGTACTTACTTTTGGTGTTGGGCAGGACGCAGTGGAGAGACGCGAAGTGGCCTGGGCACGAGGCGATTCTGAAGGGGTAGTGCTGAGGGAGGCTGTATCACGTGGGAGCACCTGAACGCCACGAGAGATAATGGAATCTGGAATCTTAAAAAGACGGGAGAAAGAATTAATAGTCAAAAATACACTGTATTGAAATCTTAGGCAAAATGTTACATCTAAAGTTGTTTAGAATATCCCACTCTTCAATCTGCACTCTTGCTCATACTCTGTGCTGGCAGCAGTGGCACACGGATCAGTTAAACCGCAATATACAACAGAAGCTCAGAAAATGGGAAGGCCTTAAAGCTTAGAAAATAAACAATAATATATATATTTTTTCTTATTAGGTCTGCTTCAAAATGAACTATGACCAGCAGTGACTGTTGTGCTGTGGCCTGGAGGGCAGCAGACTTCCCATGCTCAGTCAGCAGACAGAAAACCAACTACTGACACTAACTAGACCCCTGTGATAGTCTCTGGAGAAAAATTATGCAGCAAGCAAATAGCCTTCTTCCCTTACATTAAAGAATTTATGTCTGCTATAGAACCTCTTTTAGATAAAGTTACTGTTAGTAAAAGCTGAAGGCCTCTTTGAGGAGAGCCTGGACAAAAACCAACAAAAAAAGAGAAAATATCCAAGCTGTCACTTGTGCTTAATAATATTAAAAGAAACAAACAAGCAACAACAACAAAAAAACCCTAATTTTTGTTTTCTATAATATATGTGGAGGCTATTTCTAAGATGGAAATTTCAGTGACAGATCCTTATGGGTATTAACATACCAAAATAAACTATTTGTTTACAATTTATCAATTTACAATTATATATTACTTTCAGTAATAAAAAGAGGTATCATTTTTGTTTTTTGTCTATTCTGTCCAGTTTTATCTCTAGTCCCAAAGAGGTAGAAGAATGCATTTAAGGTTTTCTTAGCATTAAAATATTGAGTCTTTGCAAGTTGGCTGCTTCATATTAGTGCAGGTACCAAACTGCCTTTATAATGAATTGACAGTTTAAAGTATTAATTTCTTTTTATAAAATGAAAAAAACTCAAAGTTGGAGACCTGATCTCTAACATTAGTTATAAAAATACAAAATGCAGCCAGCAATCCACTATAATTTACACTCTACACAGGCTTATTCGTATTTTATTTTACCGATTTTAATCTGTTCTTTTTTCAGAGGGAGTATTGTTGCTGTATCAGATTACTCATCCTGCAAATTACTGTTGTGTCACAACAGATAAGAAATAGAAAGCAGAATAAACAAGTCCAAATTCAGACCTTGAAAGGAATATATATACATATATTAAGACCCCTCTCCTCAGTAAAAATTTCTTGGCTCAGCTTGCTGTTGAAGTTCTGAAAGAAAAACTAAAATATATAAATATTTTTGAGGGACATAACAGTTATGGGCAATTAGGAGCAGCAAGAAATGAAGTTCTAGTGAGAAAGTAAACTACTTTAAAAAAAAAAAAACTATTTTTTTTACAACCAGATGCTGAACCTGGCTTGCATTTAGTCATTTTTGTGCATTCTTGCGGAGTAGGCACTGAGGACACTGGAAAAGGCATTCTTGCTGAAGGCAATGGAAAATACTTCTTTCCAAAAGTTTTTGTGACAGAGGTCATCCCAGATTAAAGACGTGCAGGGACAAAGTTCGAATGGTACTCAAAGAGCAGGAAAATGAAAAGGATATTTGATCCCAGGAACGAAAGGGGATGTTCTTAATGCTCTGCTGATTCTGTCCACTAAATGGTATTTCAAACTAGTTCCAAGCACAGAGGAAGTTCGATCATTTTGGCATCTGCTACAGGAAATGAAAAGATCTTGACAACAGTTCATGGAGGCAAATAGTCATTGGTATTACTCCACTGCAAAATCAATTAATTTTACCTGCCCAGCAATGATTAATACTCATGCTGCCATCCTTTTTCTGTACGGAATGCTTATGTTGTATATTATGTCTGCATAACAAAAAAGGTCGAAAGTCTTGATTTGTCCTGTATGTGCCACAACAGGACATTAAGGCAGATTTGTTGTCTCTCTTACAGTTAACTGTACAGCTTAATTGTACAGTTAAAATCTCTCACTTTAAGGTTCAAATCATTAAAGACTGCTTTTGATGTGTTTTTATTTTCAGTTTCCTTGGTTGCCATCTATAAATAATGACATCTAATGTAGCAAGTAGTAAGGAGCAATAGGATTTAGAGGTGGTAACAACTGGTACCAAGGATGCAGGGTCGACACTACACTTTATTTTGAAATAGTAAGGTGGGATAAAACTGTTAACTAGCTTTACTTCATAATTACTAAGCAATCAAATTAACACTGTCTTCAGCAGAACAGTAGGTTGCCAATGTTAGCTGTTCTGTAACAGCACACTTGTGTTTATCAGACACCTGCAGATGCTCTGAATGACTTTATGTATGTAACAACACTTCACTAGTATGTAGTACATATCCTAACATATAACTTGAATTGCCAAATTGGCAGGGTCATCTAACCTCTGGTATAACAACCCCTTTCCCCATTTACTGACTACCGTAAAGCTTCTCCTGACTTGGCATGTTCTTTTTCCAGAACAGTTTTACACACACAAACACACACACAACTTTACTATTGTTTCCTTAATTCTGTTAAGATGAATGATTCCTGCACCTCACCTCCTTCACCCCCCCTGTTAACTTTTTTAACTGTATGCAGAGAGAATTACTGGCTTCCTTGCATTCTCATAGAAAGACCTTTAGTCTTTTTGTAGCTCTGCTGTAAAGAAGAATGAACTGAAAATAGCTTTGTGCAGCACTGCTGAATTCAGCAACTATCCTAAGACTTCCAAGAATTAAGGGTCACTGTTGGCATGCAGCACTTCATTATGATGGTCAACAAAACTTACGAGCTTTACCAAACAGCAGTAACACTTCACTATTTTTCATTAAAAAAGTTAGATGGTGATAAAGGTCCCACAAAGTGAGAACAGTCCATGAACCACAGTTGAAAACCTTCCATGGTAGAGGACTTTTCACTTTGTTAATCTCCCTCTCCTGCTCCCTAGGAAAGTGCTGAGCAATGAAAAGCTCCACCGGCGCTGCAGGCCCCAGGCAGCAAACTCTGAAAGCCCTCATTGACTCTGCTAGAGCTCAGAAGGCCACAGTCACTGCCCAAAGGGCAAGAAACATAAATAAAAAATAAGAAAGACTGTGCAAAAATTGATGTCTGACACCTAAGGGCATGTTTGCCATGGAAAGACTTCTCATTAGAAAACAAAAGAAATAACATTCAGTCATTTCTTGCGACTAGACTATACCTGGTGGATCATATTTTATCTTTGCCACTCCATGCATGGTAAGACTTTCCTGTGTTTATAACATAGTAGTATGGAAAGAGATTTTGTTCCCAGTGTATTATTAACTGTTTTACAAGTTAAAAACAGTAAATATATCAGTATAAATAAAACAGTAAATATATACTGCTTTATACATAATTGTACTGTATTGTACTGTACTGTATACATAATTATACTGTATTTGTACATAATAAAAACAGTAAATATATGGGCATAAGCAATCTTTGCACCCAAAAGTTAAACACAGGTTTCTTTTGCAGTGAGAAAGCCAAAACATATTGAATGTGGGATTACACGAAATATGGATAATACTCTAATCTGTTAAGAGATAATAACTATTACAAACATGTACTCTTGCAAAGAATTACCCTTACTCATATAAATACGAGCTGTTTAAAATCTAAAAGGATAATGTGCATGAGTAAGGATTTGTACTGTTTGCCCCTCAAACTGCTAACACTTTTTCATGATCCTTTCTTTTTGTAATTTCTATGTGTGAATCTATGGGTAATCTTGAGGAAAATCTGCTTTAGAATGAATGATTTCTGCTCTATTGCTGTGTTTCTAAACTGACAGTGTTCTTGTGTCAGTCATTTTCCATCGGCATTTTAATTAAAAAAAACCTATTCCTCAGATGATCTTTACCTAAGTAACCTACGCTGCAATCTCCACTATAAATTATGAAGTGAGTAGAGGTTCTCATTACTATGCAAGATAATTCTTTTTCTTCTTCTCCAGAAACAGTGCTCAAGTAGTCCCTACTTGGAATATGAAGGTTTTGTGGGACCAGTGGGACACCAGGGAGGTGGTATAAACAGGATATTCTGTTCAGGACAAGGATATTCTGATTGGCAAACACCATACAGCCTGTAATCAAAAGCACCATTTACCTCTGCACTCATTTTCTCTTGAGATTCCACCTTAAATATGTTAAATACACAGAAAGAGTGGCAATCTTAAGTTTCATACTGGCATAATTTTTGGTACAACTACAACTTTTAATACTTCCCTTTAAAAACCCTGATTAAGGATATTGCTGTAAAAAACCATAAATTTTGATAATGGCATAAAACTAAAAGGATACAATAAAAGAAGGAATGCTTTTAAATCTTCAAGATATCTTTTTCTTGCTCCAGACAAAAGGCTGCATGCATTCTGATGTGACTGTGGGTGTCTGTTACCTTTTTCATATAAGATCCCACAACAGAAACAGAATATTCCTTTTGCAAATGATAGCAAGAACCAGGCTTCCCTGCCGTTACTCTGGTTACTCAAGAGTAACCAGATATTATCTGGTGCCTAATTCCCTATAGGCAAGTGGCTAGATTTCTTACGTCTTTCGGAACAAAACAGCTATTTCTGCAACAAAATGACTGTGACAATTCTAGTCTCCATTTAATTTCATCTGAAATTTTTTTTTGCATTAGACCATCTGACTGATGGCTTAGACTACTAATATCCTAATGAGCAAAAGAAGTGCAACCTCTAGTCAACAAAACTAGAGAATATTATCTCAAGAATTTACTTTCAGATTATTGGCTTACATTGAATAAATGGGTTGGGGAGGGTATGAGTCTCTATACCAACTACTTTCCTTAGGTTTCTCTTACCTACAGTTATGCACACAATAAGATACATTTTATTCTTCGTGTCACTACACACATTACTCTGTTGTGATTCACATCTAGACTAAACCTTTGAGACATGGAAAAGAAATTATAATATTCTGTGGAAGCCTGAGTTAAAACTTCAAGGTCATAATATCAGGGTATGGACCAACCTAAAGCTGAAGTTACCATTTCTTTCTTGCTACTCATTGAAACAATTTCCTACTGTTCACTGGAATTTAATAACTTGCAATAAGAGTCCACCATATCCAGACTCCTCAAGTCTTCTCTTCTGTTTTTGAGAAAGAATACTTCCAATCAGAATATAAAAATAAAAGAGAAACTCTGAGTGATGAAAAGTAAATTATGAATGGTCAGTAGAAATGGTGCATTATGTTGACATAGAAGTTACTGGAAAAAAAAAAAGGCAAAGCAATGCAAATGAAGAGAAAAAGTTATCACAATTTCATAGCTCCAACATTATGGTGTTAGAGATTATTTTAATTATATGCAATAAATGAATATATTAGATGATAAAGCTGATGACCTTTCAGAAGCACAAGCTTTAAAGCACGATTATCTCAGCAGCCAAAAACTGGCACTACCAATTTTGCTCTGTTTAGTTTCGTATTTTCAACAGAATATTTTCTGTAGTAGTTTGCTAAAAGACAGCACTGCTGTCTATTTGTTAGCAGAGAATAACCACCACCGTCTGTTCACACACTAGAGTAGGAGGCAGGCATATCTTCAGATACTGTTAGTGCAAAAGCCTCTCGCAGGGGCGTCTTACCAGTTCTTCTGCACTGCCTGCCGCGTGATGGCAAGAACTGATGAGACCAGGAATGGGCTGTTCACCTTTTGCCATGATAACAGCTGAACGGGTGTAGGATGGATGCTTCTAATACACAACACATAACAGCTATGAATACAGTGACAGGAAAACATGAAACTGTACAAGCAAATGACTGAAAGGGAACGAGGTGAAAACAAATAGGATACTGAAATGCCAAACTCTTATGAACAGAGCCACTCTAGATCCCAGGTATCTTCTGCCTTTAAAAATCATACAGATTATACATCTTTGCCTCTACTAAACAAAACTAATATATTTAAATTTGCATCAATAAAAACTGAAGTTTAATGATAATTAAATTCATTCTTTTAAGACATACATAATTGTGTTTTTCAATATAGGAGGAGATGATCTCCAGCTGCAGCTGTCTTGAAAATGCCCCAAAATGTTAGACTTGATTTCATATTTTTGGAGTTAGACTATTGCTGCTTTGATTTAGCAGTTGTTTATTATCATTCTGAGTTACTTAGATTTTCCATTTGCATAGTAGGAATTAAAAGTATAGCTTGTAGAGTAAATATGGAATAAATTATTTTGGAAGAAAAGCCTTCTCAAATATATAGAACTGCATTGTCTTTCTAGTTGCAAATTAAAGGCATAAAACAGAGGCAAAAAATTATATAATGCTTCAAATAATATAATTATTTTTCCCTCAAAGAAATACTAACATATTAAGTGAAATAATTATTCACAAGTATTGTCTTTTTTTTTTTCATTTTATAGTTTAAAACGTGTTATTTTGGTTTGAGTAACACTCATCTATAATTGCTGCTTAAAGCAATACACTTAAGGGCGATGCAATGACATATAAGTTAGTGGTAGAATTTCACATCTCTTCCATAGATAAGTAAATTGGAATATAGCAGTCTGGATAGCTTTTTACTTAATCTGCTGTCATATTTTTTATCATTATTTTTTTAGAAACCAATGTTGTCTTTTCAAAATGGATACTGTGGTTCTCAAAATTCTGCTGTGATTCTTTAATATGCCACATATTGGACTTCGCTCATTCAGGCACGTAGGTACTTTGAACTATAAAAAAACACTAAAAATAATCTGTCACATCGCATTGTATGCTAAAAATGCATGTTATCATCAAGATAATAAACATGATGTTCCACTAAAATTTGTCATTGCTGAAAAAAACAAGATTCACAGATTCTTATGAAGCTGTATTTCTAGAAAACGTACCTAAAATACATTGGTTCTAGCACAACATCAACATAAAATTTTAATATGCAAATAAATACCAGTGGAAAGCACCTAAGATCGAAACCAAAGCGCTTTTTATGGAAGGCAGTCAGACTCACCTTAGCTGCAATGGCTGCTGCAGTTATATGTGAAGAGGAACTGTCCTCTGTTGACGCAACTCCACTGTCCTTCTTCTCTTCCTCCTCTTCCTCACACTGTACTCCTTTGTCTTCGGTCTGCTTGTGAGGGCTGGTGGTTGGAGGAGGAGAGAGAGGAGGTGGTGGTGAAGGTAGATCTTCAAGTTCATCATGCACCTCCTTTACTTTTACAATGGCATCCCGCAAAAGATCAATGGCGTGAGGTAGGGCTGGCAGTATAAACTGAAAGCATTCCTACGCACAACAAGAAGAGAAATGACTATGAAAAGTTACCTGCAGAAGCAAACAGGGATTCGTCAGATTTGCTCTTAAGGGGTGCTTGTGACTTAAGATATTTTTTCCATCTGACTATAAATAAAACTCAAAACACCTTGTGCTCATTGAGGGAAAGAATAAACAAACAAAAAATCAGAACCTGACCCAGTGACTCTGCAATATAATTCTTTTTATTCTCCATCTAAAATCAAAAACAGCTAGAGCTACTTTAACCCAATATTTTAATAAAAGTTAGGAAAACAAGAGTTAAAATCTCCTGAATACTTAATATAGAAGCCAATTCACAGCAGCTGGCAGCATGCTACAGAAATGCAGGATAAAAAAAAAAAAAAAAAAAAAAAAATTATCCCTGCAGGGACATTAGCTTCAACTCATTCCTATTATGTTCTTCTCACATTTTGAGGGCAATTCATAAGGGTTTCCATAATTACGCTTTTATATAATGATATACTTTTTTATTCATGGACTTATCCTATAAACTGGAAGAATGACAAGCTATGCTGTAGTAACTAATTTCATGTAACTCAAAAAAATGTTCTTAAATAATCTGTTCTTTAAACCTCTCCTTGCTCTGTAATACTAAAAAAGGAAAAAAAAAAATCAGAAAGTTTCCTTTCTATAGCTGGAGAAAAAAAATGCAGATGCTAAGTAATTCTTCTTGTGTATGGCCACTATGGAACAAGAAAACACATTACACACAGCTACCTATTTTGCTAAAGTTTGCTAGTACTTCGCAGAATCAAAGAATCCTTCAAGATGAGAAGAACCTCTGGATGCCAACTAGGGCAGCCTCCTGCTCAGACTGGGGTCAATACTGAATTCAGATGGGTTGACTGGGGACTTGTCAGGTCAAGCCTTGAAAACCTCCAAGAATGAAGACTCTACAACCCTTCTGGACATCTTGTTCTAATGAGTCATTATCCTCAAAGTGAACATTCTGATGCACTTAGAAGCTCCTCTGCTTCTACCTATGACCATCGTGTCTCACCCTCCTTTTAGGAACCTCAGTAGTTTTTGTAACACTAAGAAGTTTGAATACTCTGAGTACGGAGGGTTGTGTTGAATATTGTGTTCTAGCAGCCTTACGTAAAATTGAGAGCTTGCCGAGCTCCATTTTACAATTAGCTGATAGAAGTACAGGTAGAAATGTTGACAGGAATAGGACTTGGGAGATCTCTCCTATACTTTCTCCTCTTGGAACAGGGGGAGTTGACTAGTGATAAATTATTTATTTTTCTTCTTTGCAGGATTACAAACTGAACTGAATTTAAAATTCTATCTTTTGTCACCAATGTTATTTACAGTAATATTTATTCTTTGTTGGACAGTACCTGATGACTTTATTCACAGTAGGATTTAAACCCTTTGGCAAAGGGTTCTATCGTCATGTTCTGATCAAAGCTAAGCATGAGCAAGCAGTTATTAATCGTATTTCAACTGAAGTATTTATTCCTTCTCCTTCTATTAGAATACCATTTTTGTCCTAACAGGACACACCTCTCCTTTTTAGGACTGAATTTGCACTTGTCATTTATAGAAAGAGAGAAATTTATACAGTAAGGAGAAATAAATTTTACATATTCTGTTCAGACTTCTCCAATCTGCGACTCTTTCCATTTTAATGCAAAGCATATATTGTATTTGTGTCCATCTCTGATATGAAGCATTTACACTGCTACCATTTTCTATTAATATTTAGTACTTCATCATATACTGATGCAATTTCATAGCTTCATATAAGCTTCTTACATGATTATATTAATGAGACGTAAAAGAAATTAGCAAGTCAAAAAAAGAGAGAATTCTAATGAGAGCAATTTCTGGTAACAACTCTTTGGTTTCTGAGATCCTGCCTGCTATGGAAAATTCACTTTGATATATGCCTTAAAAATCTTTGCTGAAACCTCAAGCTCTTAAGATGTTTTATATTAATATAAATCATGACAAAACATTATCAGCAAGACAGCAACAAATAATCAAGAGCTCATAAAAATTTTGCTTATATAATGAAGCCATACAATATTTTTTCTTTCTAGCAGAATTACCTTTTTATTATTTACTTACATGTCAAACTATTGTTAAAATATTTATAAACATCTTCTATTTATTTTCCTTATCCTCTCTGTGCAGTTTATCTGCCTTCAATGTCTCAATGCCTAAGGGCAGAAAGTGCCAACCTTTTCTCTAAAAAGGTATGCTAGGAGTAACATTATAATAATGATCAGAGACTGCAGACTGCTTTATCTCCTTCATTATTAAGCAGAAGAGGTAGAGACTTCAGAAGAAACATCTACTTACCAGGAAACCAATTCCCTGAGATGTGGAGCTCATTGGTAAGTTCCTGCATACGTTTGTCTTCCCACCCATAAGTGGAAGACCTTCAGATGGGTATACCTATCGCCCGCCCTCCTTCATGCCTGGTGTATGTTTTGATGCTATTTTAATTTCTCTTTAATTTCAGAATCTCATCAGATTCCTGAATAGACTCCTAAGGAATCATAGTATTATGGAGGACTCCAAAAAGCAAACGTACAATTAATGCATCTAAAAAAAATGTGATTATTCTCTAAAATAATATCATTAATAAACATCTCTTCCTCTACTTCCAGGTGACAGCACAGAAACACTCTGTACTTCTCTAGACTTGCATTTTTCAAGCTAACGTTTTATCAACATCACTGTAGTGTCATGAGCGATGGAGATCTGCCTCATCAGTTTGCATATCAGGTTCTCTAGCCCACTCTGCTGCTCAGTAGTATGCATGTCAGGAAGGCTGATTTTCTGCATCCATCAGCCAACCACACAGACAGAAAGACCACCAGAACAATCTAGCTTTATTCATTCTAATAGAATCCTCCCAAGTGTTTCTTTGTAATTTCATCCATAGAAGTATTTTGCTGTAGAAAAGGCATTTTTTTCTCCCAATTACACCGAAACAATCACTCCTGGAAGATGTTCAGGAAGAGCTTCTAAAACAATATTGTTGAAGAGATGTCAAACGGCCAGTCCCAGATCTCTTCCACTCTCCTGATAGAAATGACTGTATCAGAACACCTTCAATTAACACTAACAGTGAAAGAGACTCCCGAAACTCCTATACTTCGATAATGTGAATACTGGATTATCCTTACTGTCCATTTCCTAGTCTAGGAAGAAGCAAATTGTTTTCAAAATACCCCAAACACAGATGATGCCGGCTTCACTTCACGTACAATTACTGAGAGATACTGTTTCCTTGCAGATGATGAGACACTACATCATCTTGCTTATTGAACTAGAATACAGAAGTCAGCCTGCATTTGGTATTTGCCAAATAAAGTAAGACCGAAAAAAAGGCATTGTGTATTTCATACTAATCTGTATTCCAAAATATTGACATGAAGTTTCTGGAGGGCTGGTTACCGCAAGCTTGTCAGACTACATAAGTAAATACTGCATCCTAACACGAGGAGGCCTCTCTGGAAGGAGCTGAAAAGGTGAATCAAAGATAACCTGATCAGTCAGGTGATTTCTACCTCAAGGCTAAGAGCTGTATATTTCAGGAAAAGGAAGACTGAAGCGAAGCTCCTAAACTTGAAGATGCATCCTGGCAAGAAATGTCACAAACATCCATGCTGACATGTGTTAAGCCAGATTTCACTGTGGAGAGGACAGATGAAGTTTAGATACTAAATCATGTTTTGTATTAGCTGAATTACCTCTTTGAGAAGAACGACTGCTGCTACAAACTGATGCAATGCAGGTGAACACTATAGACAAGCTAGGAATGAGATGTGGCCTCTGGATGCTGGTTTTGAAAGGCTTTTGAAAAGCTGGAGAATGGTTACAGACATGGCTGGAACTGTCATTTTATTTGCTTTTTAACAATCAGTTATCCAGGTACATAGCAAAGCCAAACCTCATCAGATGAGCTGCTATAGCAGGTACGGTCTACACCTCACCCTGTAGTTCTGTTCTCTAGCTGTGCACCCTAGCTTTGCTTTGACAGTGCACATTTCTTTCTGCATTCCTTGACTCCTTTTATCAAAGCACCTAACTTAGTATCTGGATATTCACCCTTACCTCTGTTCTCTCACAAAATGACTGACACAGATAAGAGCTACCACCAAACTCCTTGATGAAGATCCTCCGAACCGCAGAAAGAACGAGCAGTAGATCTCCTATCAACAGAAGTTCTCGCTCAATATGAAGTATAAATATTTCCTTTTGGATGCCTTTATGACAACGTGGAAACAGGCATTAGGAAAATCAAGGGGTATTAATGATCAATCTTGAATAGCTGAGATAGCAGTGGCTGGAGTTATTCTATATGTGAATTTATTGATACAAAGCTTTTATCTCTATTAACATCAAGATAAATTTCTTTTTTTTTTTTTCTTTTTCTTATCATTACTTTTTCCTTTATACTAAAATGTTTCAGTCATGTTACTGCAGTACCATGACTCTCTGCAACATAGGGGAGCCTGTTTTACAGTTCCCAGTGCTAGAAAATACTCTTACTTCCTGGCAGAGCAGAGCTGCATGACAGGGATTCTGAGAAAGAGACTACCCAGTAGTGACATTCCTCACAAAAAGATACAAATAGCAAAAGTGCAGTTGTACTTGTGTTGTAGACACAGATGCATGTCTACAGTGTCGAGAACCAAGCATCTGAAAGACTTAGATTCATGACTGGTTGAAGGCAGACAGTACTCCCAATAGGTGGGGAGATGACACCAAAGTGAAAAGAAAGTGGCAGTACTGCTGAGGATAGGAAAGTTAAGGAGCCACCATTAGAGCAAGCTACATGAGGATGGTACCTCGTGCACCGACTGTCTCTGTCAACCACATCTAAACTAGGATTAGACTAACAAGTCAAAAGCAAAGGCACCATGTAACTAAGAAATGTTCCTATGGCAAAATGATCTGTGAGTTTAAATAATGGTAGATGTGCTTTACCTTAAATTCTCATACCCCAAGAATGAGGAAAAAGGAGGGGACATAACATTTTCATATGCTGTAAAGATTACCACCTTTCCCATGTCAACTAAAAATCTGCATCTATATCAAGTATGCATAAGTTTGAGAAGGTTACCCTTCAGAGACAGATGGAGAAATAAAAAATTGAGTTGATATCATTCACTTCGAATTCTCCTCTGCATGTTTTCTGAATTTCAAAATTTATTTTTACATTTTTACATTCTCTTAAAAATAATAATCAATAGTAAAATAGTAAATAGTACTATAGTAAATAGTGATAAACCTGTAAAGGAATCCTTACTTTTATGCAATAATTAAATCTTAGAATGTCATGTGTGACTAATATAAAACTGCTAGAAAGTAAGCCTATAAAAAAAATTACAGTCTAATTTCCTTGTCCGTATTGAACAAAATGCAAGAAGAAAAAGTGCAGGAAATGTAAATTCTGATATCCATATACCAAATATTAAAAAAAAATCCTTATACTATTAAAAATGTTCTGATTTTCCATCTTTCTGACCAAAATTGGGAGTACTCTTCATATTCCAAAAAGTTTTGTCATACAGAAGGCCTTTCTCTTACTTCTGTATGGAAAAGAAGGTGTTCTTGAAGCTTTAGACAACAGAGATCAGGTACAGAATGACTAAAAAAGGAAAAAGGATGTATGAGACACACATCCTTTTTATTAGCACTATAAGCAGATTTGTAGTCTACTATATTTATCATTGTCTTGCACTATATGTGATGTTGTCCTGTGCACTCCATCACTCCATCAGACTGGAATGGATGCACTCCATCAGACTGGAATGGCATTTGCCCTGACTGTTCAGTTATATGAATAAGCATTTCAACTAATTTTTGTAAAATTTGTTGTAGTAGGTAATTTCTACCATTGAAAACAAGTGGTAATTATGACAGCTCCTTAATAATTGATCAGCGTGAACACTTCTTACCTGTGACCCTTTCTTGCTACCTGGCAGATTAATTATGAGAGTTTTCCCTCTGATTCCACATACAGGTCTGAAAAGAAAGAAAGAAAATATTAAATTCTTCCAGACAAATTTCTCCACTGTAAAAACATGAAGAAAGCATTTAAGAAAAATTAAGAGAAACTTCTGAGAGCGATCGACAATATCTAAGAATGCTTGCTGATCATATTCTGATAAAAAGGCCCAGGAGAAGCTTCAGAAGAATCAGATGAAGCTGACATATTTTGACATTGAACTGACAATATAAAAATTGGTAACATTTTCATCTTTTCTAGATCTGTAGTCTCTTAATTCTATTGTTTACTTGCATTAAACACATTGTTTGATCTATTTCTTATTTGTTAAAAGACATGGTTCCTTTGCAATCTGGCTGATGTCAAATGCTGTTTGGCTCACTAGATAAAAATATAGTGGTTGCATTAACTCAAATACTTCTCTTCCTCTCTCTCTCTCTCTTTTTACAAGCCAACATGAGAAAGGCACAGAAGTAATCCTCAAGTGAAAATAATGCTTGTGCAATCCAAAAGAAACAAATTAATCAGCTATCAAACTAGTAAATTATTTATTCTATTTTTTTTTGTCTTTAGTGCAATACATTGGTCTCAAGGCAAGGCTGAACTTAAATACCCAGACACTGAACAGTGCTACTCTTATACTTTCTATGGCTTTTTGTAGCTCTTTTTAGCTAAATGCTGAAAACAAAAATAACAACAAAAAAAAACACAATAGATTTTGTCTGAAGTTTGGAAATCGTGCCTCCTGTTTTTCTCCCCTGTTCACCAACCTAGAGGTAGAAGGACCCAGGATTTGGATTGAGGGGATCAGAAAAGAAGAAAACTGCAAAAACACACTGGTATGGAAAATACAGTGTGAGAGAAATTATATAATCATCTCATTAGCAAATAAAAACATAAGCCATAAAAAAGACAGAAAGACGAAAAATAAGTTCCTTGATAGACTGCTGCCAAAAATTTGAGTCAAAAAGCATTGTTTGTGGGGTCTTGGCTACCTTTCCTGGATTTCTTTGTAGTATGACATTTTCTGGTATGGTTACAAGATTTCTTGTGACAACTGTCACAGTGTTCACAATTAAATAGCGTGGGGGCTTTCTCTGTGCCACAGAAATGAACGTCTGATATTACAGTCAAACCAGTCTGAACATGAGAGAAATCTTATTGTCAACTGTCAGCTTGAATATTGCCTGACCCCTCACCTTTCTTTCTCTGTATTTACTTTTTACATGCACCTTCAAGTCAAGAAAATACCTCTGAGTTAAGACAGAAGCCTAGGCAATCCCACGCTGCCTCAATATAAAGAGGAAGAGCCCAAGTTAAGGAACTGCTGTGGTGGAGGGACTCAGGGAGCATCAGGGGGACTCAGAAGAATGTGACTTACCACAGAATCAAAATAAGGGAAACAGGAAGAATTTATAGTGGTGTTTGACATGTAATTCCTTTTGTAATGTTCTTTTTGAATTCTTTGTTCTGCTTTGAATGATTTTGAGCAATATCAGTTAAATGACATTCACCAATAATAAAAAGGACTAAAAGAGCAGCCATTCTCCAGCATGCAAGGAGTTTTGGCTGGTAACAAATATCTAGCTGCTCACAACAGAAATGGAGCTGCCAAAACTTCTCAAGAACATGCAGAAGCAAGTAAAAGCGAGTGAGAACTGCATAGCTTGCAAAAAATGCTGTTTGTGCTTCCAGCATAAAAATGCAGAATGTGCATGCTCTCCAGGTAACTTGGGAGATAAATGAACAATATTCCTCAAAAAGAAGAACACTCGAGAAAGATGCTGTATATCTCCTGTTATCCTCAGCCTTGTGATGCAAAGCACAGATTTTAAGAGAGAAAAAAAAAAAAGCTTGAAAAAGAAGACTGGGGATAGAAACAATGGGGTGGAAGGAAAAATAGAAGGCAGTAGAAACAGTGGATGTGGGAAGAAAGAGTTACAAAGAGAGACACATCTTTGGATGCAGAGGTAAAGGACATAATTGCACTGAAAAAAGTACATAATCTTGCAGGGAGGAAACTGTGATGAGGAAAAACTGAATACGTAGGTGAGGAATCAGGGAGTGGGTTTAAAAGCCTCAGTAAAGACCAAGATGGAAAGGGGAGACAAGTCAGATAAAGAATCAAATGAGGGGAAGACGGAGTTTCAGGACAAGGAGGGTTCAAAGGCCACAGAGAGGAAAAGGAAAATCACAGCAAACACAGAGAAACCTCTATGACCCTCCAAGACATTCCCTGCTGGAGCTTAGAAGAGAATCCTAAATGAGACAGTCTTACTGCTTCCAGTTTATCAGCAACTTCCTAATGCTGCTGCTATGCTGGAAGACTACCTATAATCTATAACAATTTCTGTAAATTCAAGTGATAAAAGTTGACGTGCTTGATGTACTGTTTCCAAAATTGGGGGTGATTCATAGGAGCTTAATGCTTCATCATGCAACTTTTGGTTTTGATTCCTTTTTAAAGCACAAGGGATTACATGCACAATTATCTGTAAGGATGATGCCAAAGGTGCAGAGCATATCCCGCAAGAGAAGGAACCTCTAGAACTAGAGCTTCCTGGTGTCATTAGATGTCTCTCAGGGCAGTCAGTGCAGAACTTCTTAAAAACTAAATCATATATTTTTATATGGCATATGTGCTTCATTTAGTCGCCAGATGTGCCTGTCAGCAATCAAGGTTACATATTAAATATAAGTACTGCATGTAAGACAATTATCTGGGCAACATTAACAGAAAGTCTGGCTTCACAGCTGGCAAGTTACTCTGCAAATCAAAAATTAGACTGTCTCTGTCACAGAACTTCTGTGTATCACTGGACAAGCCACCTAAGCAAACTTTTCACAAGTAAGAAGTACTTGCCTGTTCCTCACTTGTGTGCATTCAGCTTGTCCCCACTGAGGTCTGATTTGTGAAAGTGCTGATTATTTAGAAGTCAAAATGAAGGTATTGAGAGCTAAGCTTGGAATGACATTTAATGTCAAGTATTCTGAAAAATCAAAACCTACTCTTCTCAAATTGCATACCTAAAATCAGTGTATGTTTTTGACCTCTATCAATGGATGTCTCAGTTCTTACTGTAAAAGAGGGATAAATAAGTGACCTCAATCTACAGGGTTTCCTGAGAAAATATATTAGGAATTTGTAGCTCATTTATGGGTTACAGTAAAAAGTAGTTTAAGTCCCAAAGGAAGTGAGTATGCAGTCAGAGAAGATTCTGAATATAAAGCAGCAAAAATTATATAGGAGTGCACATAAGACAACCGAAACCAAGAAAGCTAATTTTTGTCCCCTCTAGCTTACAGAAGAACTCTACTTAAAAAAAAAAAAAAAATGCCGTCTTAAAAAAAAAAAAAAAAGTAAAACATGTACAGTCACACAGAACTGAGATTGCACAAAAACACAGTACTGGAATTATGCAATACTTGTGTACTCAGGTATCATCTTAATTGTATACAAATATGAATGTTTTGTATGCTGTCATCTAGGGCTGAAGTAATGGAGTTTTGATGGGGAACTGTTTTGAAAGCCTAATATGATTGTGTGCAGTATCTTTGTAAAACTTTTTCAGTATAGATTCAGGGAAATTCATGTCTTGCCAGTCTCTTCAATGACTACTGAAAGTGGCTGTAAACTAAGGGACACTTTCTTGCTCTATGTACAGAAGAATGAGGATGCAATTCTGCATTCTGGTTCCACTACCTTTACAAGCATCCTTCTAGCCACCCTGACCACACCACAGCCTAAATCAAATTTGGTTCTGCAGTACCATCTAAACAGCTCTCCTTGCTGCTGCTCTCACTCTAACTTGTTATCCCTTCCCTTTAGAGAAAGGTAAACTATGCTATGAAACACTATATCTGATACAAAGATGAAAATACTTCCTGCTTTGAACAGAATCCAAAGATGTTAACTTGGTAAGATTGTCCTTGAACCCACACAAAGTGCTACAAGAAGTTTTAAAATACCCTGTCAAATCTCCAAAACTCTCATCTACATGTTCATTAAAAATGCAAGCACCTCAATACAAATAATCTGTCTGCAAGTTCCTTCTTCATTCATTACTTCTATAATTATTTTGTTGTTGTATCCCCATTTTTCAATGTGTAACTGAAAAACTCAAAGGGCCATTAGCTTTTAGCTACCTTGAAACAATGTGCAAGCACAAATTAACTTATGAAATGTTTTGACACTAAGTCTATCATAATAAAAATGAAACATAACTCTGAATATCTGCCAGAAATACCATGAACAGAAGTTGCTGAAAGAAATACAGGGAAACAAGAGTTGTTACTTATTAAAAATGAACTGCAAATAATGAAAGAAATACCAATGTTCAGGTGTTCAAGTATTAAAATCTAAAATCATAAGATAAAATACCTTCTAATTTAATCAAGGATTCTTTAATGAAACTGGAATAAAATGCAACATCAAAACACTTGCATTATTCTTTCTTTCCCTTTTCTTTCTTCTAAAATAAGCCTTTTGATACTTGATGACCAATGTACTGAAGAACATTTCACTTGCTACTGAAATGCCACAGCTCTAAGTGAAAACCCAGCTGTTTAACAGCATCCATCAATAAAACAAATAGGTTGTCAAAGCAAATACAGGCAAACACAGTGCCTAATGGAAACTCCAACGAGGACTTAATCAGTGAGTGCAATTACCACTCCAGGAATTTGACCACTTCTCTGTGGTTAAGACTTCTAAAAAGAAAAAATGTCATTCATCAATTATTTCTGTCTAGTTATTCCATTACCTTGAGTATTTCCAGGGAAATAGTTCCCTTCATATTTTGAAAGAAATATTCTTACCTAGAGAGCATGCCCAGAGGAGTAACATTAAGTGATCCCATCAACATTGCCAGGGCCATCCCTGGGGCTTCTCGCTCTATTACTTCTTTAGTGGCCTGTAATCAAAGATTAAATAGCAAAGTGAGTGAAAACAACAAAACGGACAAGAAAATATGAAACCAGCTAAATATGGGGTAGGAATATCTCCTTTATTTGTTTCAGACTCCAAAGATGTCCATGAAAAATTCTTAGTACTGAAAGCTTTTAAAGAATTTTCTATTGGCTGTAAAATAAGGAAAGGGAGTGGGACAAAGCATTGTTAGCTGAAAATTTAAAGTCAGGCCCCTAAATATACGAAACATTAACCACCACACATAAATAACAGCTCACTAACAGAAACAGAAGAGATTTGGGAAGTAAAGAGAGAGAAAGATTTAATACAAAGAAAATACTAAATGTTGTCACCACCTTCTCAATCTCACTTGCATTTTCCTGTTGAGATTTTCTCAGGGACGAGAAGAGTGAATCAGTTTGAGCAAAAGACAGAAAAAAAAATCGCAAAGGGAAGCCCATGTAGCAGGCAGGCAGGCCAAGAGTAAACCAGTACTGGCAGTGGGCAGAGGCAGAGCCTTGCCTTTCCATCACGTCAGCACAAGAGCCATTCCAAACAGGCTGGCGGCTTTGGTCCACTAGCAGCCCTGTGCAGTGGGCAGCAAAAGGCTGAGAAGCAGAGCCTGAAACTTCTTGTGCTTTTAGACCCTTTTACACACAGGGAATCACTTGGGAAATTATCTTCCAGGGACATGCATAAGCCCTTCCTTCCTAAAATAATTTTTCTCAAATGAAAGCAGGCATTCGGTTACAGTCTCCCAAACTCTAATTTGAGTTCCAACTTAACACTGCCAAGGAAGGTTACAGTCCCCACTGCCTTCTCACTCCTGTCACAGCTGTAGCTGCTTTTGGGCCATCCTGATTCATGCTCTGAATCAAAGTTCTAACTTATTTGGCACAACCAAGATGTTAGCAAAGCTCATAAAATTGTGAAATCCATTGTAAAATATCCAGCAAGAGGTCATACTTTGGTGGTACAATTAATCAAAAGGAACAATAGAAAAGCACTTCTTTAATTTGAGGGATCTTTGAATAAGCTAAATTTTCCTGGCAGTTTGATGAAGTAGAAGAATGAAGTGGAAGAAAAAATATACAAATGGTTTTGTGGGGAAGATTATTTTATAAATCAGATTGTGTATTTTAGTAAATACCTAGCTTATATATAGAAATACAAACTTACAGAGAAGAACGACAGAGTCAGCCAGTAACATCACTGTAAGGATGTAGGAGTCCTAACTGCAAAGCACGATACTTAGCTATAGGGCTAAGAGAACACTTTACAGAAGAAATAAAACAAAAACAAACAAACAAAAAAATCACTGCTTCTCTTCCATTGGCTGTAGAAACACACACTGTCACTTACATTTAACATGCTTTACAGAAATATATCAACAAATGTCAAGTACAACTACGAAGTAAAGGTTCCCATCTCCTACCTAACAAGCAAAGTCAGCATGAGTAAAGCAGCAGCTTTGACTTTTACCAAACCACTTAAATTCAACAGCTGAGACCATTAGTTGTTCTTATTTCAAGCACAGCATGTGGGGTTTAGTATCTGCCATCTTCCATTCAGAAACAAAGCAGCATATAAATACAACCTATGGTCTGTACCACCACAACAGGAAAATGAGAAGAAACAGGCTAGAAACAATGTAGGATATACTTATAACTAAAACCTTTCCACAATGTAGGCTATACTTATAACTAAAACCTTGCCACAGAGAGAGGTTGCCAGAAAGCTATTATCCATCACATATGAAAAATTCCAAAGATGGTCCATATACCTGATGCTTTTTGTACTCTAGATGAAAAATGCATTGCAATGGTGTAGGATGAAAAAAAGGTGATGCACTGAATTGTGTGTGTGTGTGCGTGCATACGCTGGGAGTGTATATCTATGCTTTTTATTTTCAGCTAATACCATGCTTCAAAGCTATCCAAAACTAGTTTTAAATAAAAAAAAAAATTTAGAGATTTCTTTTTTTTTTTCTTTTTTTTTTTTTTTTGCCCTTGAGCGCAGTGACACTTTGAGGATATCATTAGTTAAAATTCTGAAGAGGCTTCAAAGGTAGAAAAAGATGCAAAAGAGTTCCATAAACAATGATCTTGCAGCTCAGGGAGTCCTTCAATGAAATTCAAGTCCATTTGCTAACTTCACAAGAAAAATGACCTTCACAAAAAGTCACTGCTAGCAGGCAATGTGATTATTAAAAATGTATAGACTTCTCAGCAGCAAAATCTGAAAGGGCAGAAAGTTCAAACAGCTGTATAACCCTCAAAAAAGACTTCTAAATACATTTCTTCCAAAATCCACGTGTTTACATTTATTACTGCAGGCAGACTTCTATAAACTGGGGAACACTGTCTGCTTTCACATTTGCAGCCTAACTGGATAGATTTAATCAAAACGGCTACTGCTACGTAAAAGCCTTTTGCAGTGACATCTGCTGCTTAAACCAGCCACCAGAGAATCCACTCTTGGCACGTCCTTAACTAACACATAACTTAAAATGCGCAGTGCATAGGAACTGCAGTCACCATGCCACTAGCAGGACTTTCTTAATTACATAACATATATATGGAAAAAAAATATATATGTGCATGCATATACATAAAGGTATATTTATGAATGACACTAGCTAGGCTGTAATGATTACAAATATTTTGCATCTATCTCTAGCAGGCGCTAGTTTCCACAAACAGCTTACTGAAGTGCTGTTCACCAGCTTTTCTGATGTTTCCTCCCAGACAGAGGGCAGAGAAAAGTCAAGCTCTATCCTCACCTGTGGTCACCTCAGGATTTAACTTCCAGGTGCCAATATTCCCAGTTAAAGATTTATAGTGTCTCAGTATCCTTATATTTTACCAATATTCTGGAGGCGGTTGAGTTAAGATTGTTAAAACTTTGTTTCATGGGCAATTTTAGATACTTTTAACATGATTATGAAAAGGAAATCAATAAGCCTGTGACTTACTGAAGCTAGTCCCTTACCCTGCATCACAACTCAGTTGTCCTTTGCTGACTTGACAGGACTAGAGAATACTGCGGTTTTGGGACATTGTGCAAGAGACAGAATATAATAAATGCACTACAATCTAGAAATTTCATATACTTATTACAATTAAAGACAGAAATATTTTAATGTTAAGGGAGTCGGACATTTCTAGAGTGGCAGATTGACTGGCCTACAAATAAATATTTTTGTATTTCACGTCTCATAACATTTAATGTTTTTAAATTTCAAGACACTCCACGATCACATTACTACTAGCACTACGCTTACAGATTTTCCTCATTTGCACTGAAACTAAGAAGCAAAGTGGGAAAAAGCTTTCACAGGGTTCTTGGCTCTCTCACCATCAGCCAGCTTTTGCTTGCTGCAAAATACCACAGTATTTCCACAAAAACAAATCAGGACTATTGTTCCTGGCTCTCTCACACCAGTGATGATGACCCTACTCCACAGGTAGGACGAGGAAGAAAACGAGGAGATTTCAGTCAGAGTGATGACAAGTGAATGGACTGGGATGGAAATAGCAGTGAAAAAAGGTGGCTTGGAGGAACAAGAAATGAGGGGAAAAATCAGGAGAAGTGGAAAAGAGACAGGATATGATGGCACTGTAAGGCTGTCTAAGAGGCTGGGCAGCAACAGGACTGCAAGCAGTCGAATAGTAGTTTCTGCTTCAGAAAGAAGAAGGTGGAATAAATAGAGACTAACAGAATTAAGTACTTATTGCACAAAACTATCCAGTACTTAATCACTGTGCCTATGAGCGTGACTTTTCTCATCTACTTCATTGTCACATGAATAAACCCAAAATCTTTTTAAATATAGTTTTGGCTGTTTTCAAAGTGCCTTCTCACTGGAGTTAGGGCATTGTGCTCCCAAGCCAACCGATGTATTTTTAGATATCTTTGACGTAGCTGTAGTTGCTTAACAGATGGCCCGCTGCCAATGGGTTCTGCAGAGTTCTCTGCCACTTCATTTCCTCCTTTGCCCTGCACGTCAATTCAGGCAGCGCAATCTCCAACCTGTGGAAGCCCTTCCAGGCAGCTTTGGGAGGATACACCCACTGCGCGCTCATTTAATTGGAGACCTAGGACTCACCTTTTACAAATGCTCAGAAAATCCCTGTCTTTCTCTTTCAGGTATTCAGTTAGGTAAAGCTGGACCTCTCCAGAGTATGTAATAATCTGAAACATTTTATATACCTTTCAGCAGTTTTGGGAGGGTAATATAGATCTATGTTTTCAACTAAAATGCAAGTATGAGACTGGGAAGTCATAATAAGTTTAAGATGACCAAAATAGCCTGTTAGAATTTTTTTTTTTTATTGAAAAAATTTAACTCTGGCTCTGCAGAGCATATAATAAAGCTACAAAATACTATGGTGCTCCATACGTAAGAGTTTATGCAAATTATGTCAAGAATGAGCAATTTTGCTTATAATTTATATTTAACAGATTACAGAATTAGCATAGATAATGGATTACAGCTATTTTGAGCTTTACACTGAAAGCAGGAGTCTTGGGAAGGTCTAACCAAATTCCAAGACTCCCCCTGCAACAGAGGGTCAGCCTACTATCAAATCTCAGATGACTGGGCAAAGAAATCTGAGGACAGACCAGTCAAATATGCAACGAAAATGTCAGCCACATCTTTCAGTGAGATGTGTAAGAAGTGTGCACATCAGGAACAGAAATTGCCTCTCCGGTTGGAGCTCAGATACCTTTTTCAAGGCTACTCGGTACATCTCTGCTGGAGATAACACATATGCCTGTAATTTATATTCACAAGTCCGCTATTTCAGTTTATTCTCTACTTCTCTACTCATATGCTGCAGGGAAGGAAATAAGAGTTTAGAAAGATCTAGACTAGAACTTTGAACCTAAAAAATTAATGTATCTTTTTTTTCTATTAGTACAGTAAGAAATAAAAGATTGCAGCAATTCACTTCTTTCAATACCCTGGAAAGATTTTAAATGAACATCAGATTTAAGCCA